GTAATGGAGGTGGTGAGAAGTTATTGAATTTTGAAATTCCCACGAAAGTCTGCCACTGTTAGAATGTTACCTGTTACTTAAAGTTAGGCAAAATTGCTTTCTGTTCTCAGTGTTAGGATTATTGTACATTTCCCTAAGCTGTTGTTCTCATTTTATTTTAAGTACTTTGAATTTTCAGTTGAGAAATTAACCATAAGAAAGCTTAAAGCAAATTAATAGTTCATCCTTAGGAAGTGAATTCCAATTAATGGCATTTTGTATATTAGACTTATTTTGGTCATTTTACCATTAGTTTTCCCTTTGCTTGATTTTTCTCTCCTGTTTAAAAATTTCTATCAATTTTTTTTTCCTGTGTTATTTTTATTTTTATAAACCTTCTTATATTCCTTTCTGGTACAATTTTTGGTACATATAATTTTTTCTCTCTTTGAGTCTATTGAATGTACCACCTTTCACCCTCTATGTCTTTTTCATATCCGTGATTGTTTCTTTGTTATATAAGAGCAAAACCCTTCTGTAAGATTTCAAGCCATAAGAATAGTTTGTGTTTTTCATGGAACATTAAATAAAAGAATGGCTGGCTTATGTAAGGAAAAACAACTGATCTACCTTGTCACTTAACTCAGCAGATAATATTCATTTGAGTTAAAAGTGAATCAAATTAATTGTTGGACTGAATGACTAGTCACTAGTCAGTTCATTTGAAACATTTAGCCTAGTGATATGTTTATCTATGATACATTCTGATTATGAAACTTGCCCTTGGGTTTATTTTATGAGAAAATTCTGTGTCAAAAACAGGTAGAATAAAAAAACAACTACTGGGAATAATTTGCACACATTTCATAGGATTAAATATAATGAGGATTTCAAACTGAACGCTTTTTTAGAAATCCTAAATAAATATTGTGATGTCAGTGTATAAAGAACACAAATTCTTATAAAAAACATAGTCTGAAAAACAAATTTACCAGACTACAAAATGTTTATACACATCTATTTTCTTCCCAAGAGTTATTAAGTTGTAAACTAAACAAACATGTCTTTCCGTTTACTCATCACATGGTACCAATTCTCAGATATGACTCATGAGGCATGTATCTCATTTAATATTTTATAATGTTATTTGTGGTAAAGATGTGATTTCTGTTTTCAAATAAAATCACCCAGAATTATGGGAAGCTCAGAGAGTGACTGGAGAGATCATCCATCTGATTTGTAGATGAGGAACCTGAGGTCTAGAGTGTTGAAGTCCCAGGTTCTATAGCTGATTTGTAAAAGAGCCTAGATTGACACCCAAGACTCCTGACACCTAACCCAGGGCTTTTCACCTCAGATTAACTTGCATGTGGTGAACTGAATCCCCAATTTTAGGATAAAAAAAATATTGGCCCTGACTGGTTTGGCTCAGTGGCTAGAACATTAGCCCACAGATGGAAGGGTTCCAGATTCAATTCTGATCAAGAGCACGTACCTCAGTTTCAGGCTCCATTCCCCACCCTGGTCAGAGCAGTGAGGTGGGCAACCAATTGATTATGTCATATATGAATATGTGGCTTATTTTAACTATGTAAGACAGCATGTGCACAGGAATAAATCTATAATACAGTTGTCCCTGATATTGATTCAGAGTATTATTGATAATTAAAATATAAAGATTTACTGTTTTTCAGGTGTTCTTCTCTGAAGTAAGATGACTTGTCAAAAATTTTGTATGGCTTTGTTACAATGGGGTAAGTTATTTGTCTTTTCCTCCCACTTAAAAATCATTTTTATATTTCAATTATAGTTGAAATACATTATTATATTAGTTTCAGGTGTATACCCCAGTGATTAGACATTACCTAACTTACTAAGTGATTATTCTGATAAATCTTTCATCCATCTGACACCGTACATAGTTATTAGAATATTAATAACTATACTAGGGGTCCAGTGCACAAATTCGTGCACCTTGAAAGGAACTGTGGGCTGTGAGGCTGTGCTGGGCACAGGGGCAGATCTCGGCCCATCCTCTGCACCCCTGCCTGGCCACTCCCGCTGCTGCCAACAGTCCCCTGCTGGCAGCCCTGCTCCCACTGCCGCAGCTCCCACATGCTGACTGTGCCGGCCCTGGCCCCGCTCGCACCTGCTGACCGTGTGGAGCTATTGGGGCCAGCACCAACAGTGGGTGTGAGCGGCTGCTGCTGCCCTGATCACCCCTCAAGAGCAGGGGGAGGTGGAGAAGCCCTGATGGGTGATGGGGGTCGGCAGCCACTGCTCACACCCACTGATGGTGCTGAGCAATCTGGGCTGGTGGTGGGTGCCAGCAGCGGGTGCAAGTGGCAGCTCCAGTGCCAGCAGTGGTGTTAGTGGGGCTGACACCAGCAACTGGTGTGTGCTCCGGGCGGGACCATGGCATGCGACAGCAAAGAATTTTCAGTAACCACCAGAGGTTCATCCCAATGACAGCGACCCGCTCACCTGTTCCACCATCCCACCGCAGCCGACATCTGCTATGTTCCATGCGCGCTCCCTGGTGGTCAGCGCATGTCATAGCGACCAATGGTGCTGAGCAATCTGGGCTGGTGGTGGGTGCCAGCAGCGGGTGCAAGTGGCAGCTCCAGTGCCAGCAGTGGTGTTAGTGGGGCTGACACCAGCAACAGGTGTGTGCACCGGGCGGGACCATGGCATGCGACAGCAAAGAATTTTCAGTAACCACCAGAGGTTCATCCCAATGACAGCGACCCGCTCACCTGTTCCACCATCCCACCGCAGCCGACATCTGCTATGTTCCATGCGCGCTCCCTGGTGGTCAGCGCATGTCATAGCGACCAGTCGTTCAGTTGTTTGGTTGTTCTGCTGTTTGGTCTGTTTGCATATTAGGGTTTTATATATATAGATTCCCTATGCTGTACTTTATATCTCCATTAGAGGCCCTGTGCACGAATTCATGCACTAGTGGGGTCCCTCGGGTTGGCCCTGATCAGGGGGCCGAAACCCAGTCTCCAACATCCCCCGAGGAGTCCCGGGTTGATATAACTACTGAAGGCCGCGTGCACTAGTGGGGTCCCTCGGCCTGGCCTGTGAGATCGGGGCAAAACTGGCTCTCTGACATCCTTGAGGGGTCCTGGATTGCAAGAGGGTGCAAGCCAGGCCAAGGGACACCACTGGTGCACGAGCGAGGCCAGGAAGGGACGCAGGAGGTTGGTCAGCTGGGGAGGGACCATGGGAGGGCTCCAGGGCATGTCCGGCCAGTCCCGATAGGCCGGACCCTAGCAGCAAGCTAACGTGCCAGTCAGAGGATCTGCCCCCTGGTGGTCAGTGCACACCATAACGACTGGTCGACTGGTCGACTGTCTGCGCCTTGGTGTTCCATGCACCATAGCAAAAGGTTGAGCGGCCTTAGCATATCATTAGCATATTATGCTTTGATTGGTTGAACAGACAACTGGAAGACCAGACACTTAGCATAGTAGGCTTTTATTATATAGGTTGACTATTCTGTAAAAACCAATTTGAACTATTTTTTAAAAAAATAAATATTTTTATTGATTTTAGAGAGAGAGGAAGGGAGAGGAAAAAAGAGATAGAAACATCAGTGAGAGAGAATCATTGATTGGCTGCCTCCTGCATTCCCCTCCTGGGGATTGAGTCCATAACCTGGGCATATGTTCTGACCAGGAATCGAACCAAAGACCTCTTGGTATATGGGACAATGCTCAGCCAACTGGGCCACACCGGCTGGGCCCCATTTGTACTTCTTATTAAAATGTCCATATGTAAGGTAGAGATTTTGCTCTTGGAGATACTGTTTCCTATATTTGCTAACAGAATTTTCTGTTTTCAGGTAAGAATTCTCATGCTCATGCTCACTTAATGAAAGTATAAGTGTGAAAATGAAAACCTTTTATCCCTTTGCAAATAGTGTGAAATGAACACTAATCCCAAACTCTTGGAAAGAACCTGATTTCTATAATACACACACACACACACACACACACACACACACTTCATATTTATAGCTGCAAAAATAGAATTGGTCTATATATACTGTTCTGTGTTTGTTTTTTCAAACTACATTTTTATTGATTTCAGAGAGGAAGAGAGAGAGAGAGAGGGAGAGAGAGAGAAACAACATGATGAGAGAGAATCATTGATTGGCTGTCTCCTGCATGCCCCCTACTGGGGATCAAGCCCAAAACCCAGGCATATTCCCTGATTAGTAGTTGAATCAAGACCTCCCGGTTCATAGGTTGATGCTCAACCACTGAGCCACGTTGGCGGGGCTGTTCTGTTTGTTTGTTTTTCCCTACTTAACAGCTTTTCAATTTATCATGCCTATTTTGGTATTTACTAATGTAATTATTTGTTTAATGATAGCATGACAATGAACTGTATATATCTACCTTAAATTATTAATTTATTTGACCAATTCCCCATTAATATAGATTTATTTTCTGTAACAAATAATGCTGCATTGAAATGTATATACATATATCTTTGTATGTTTGGGAGAATATATTTTTTAAAAATATATATTTTTATTGATCTTTTACAGAGAGGAAGGGAGAGGGATAGAGAAGTTAGAAAGAGAGAGAGAAACATCGACCAGCTGCCTCCTGCACACCCACTACTGGGGATGTGCCTGCAACCAAGGTACATGCCCTTGACTGGAATTGAACCTGGGGGGATGGATCCTGCAACCCAGGCATGTGCCCATGTCTGGGAATCGAACCTGCAACCCTTTAGTACATGGGATGATGCCCAACCAACTGAACCACACTGGCCAGGGCAAGAGTTACTTTTAACTCAGCCATTTTGTTCTTGTCAAGTTTCTAACTTATTGGAAGAGGCCCACCCACATTAGGTAGGCCAATCTGCTTTACTCAGTCTACTGATTCAAGTGTTAAATTAATCCAGAAATATTCTCACAGATGCACCTAGAATAATGTTTGACTAAATGTCTGAGTCCCTTGTAGGCCTCAACAAATTGACTCATAACATTAATTATTATAGCCCAAATACTTTATTATGCTTTGCAATTTTTCTCCTTGCCCATCATTTGCTTTTTAACTTTGATTTCTTTTATAGCACAAAAAATTTATATATATATATATGAATATCCATATATATATGCACATATATATCCTATAGAATAAAAATCTAATATGCAAATCGGCCGAATGGTGGAACGACCGATCGCTATGATGCACACTGATCACCAGGGGACAGATGCTCAATGCAGGAGCTGTAGGCCCCAGGCTAGTCAAGGCAGGTGTGAGAAGGGACCCTCTGATCACCCCACTGGTTGCCCCACAGAGGGCAGCGACCGTCGGTGGCAACGGGGCCAGGGAGCAGGCGGCACCAGGCCAGCCAAGGTGGGTGCCAGCAGGGGCCCCCCCGATCACCCTGCCAGTCGCCCTGTAGAGGGAGGTGACCAACAGGGGCAGTGGCGGGGGGTGAGGCCGATGAGTGGGCAGCACCAGGCTGGCCAAGGCAGGTGCCAACTGGGGTCCCCCACTTGCCCCACCGGTCACCCCACAGATCGGCCCTGATCGCCGGCCAGCCTAGTGACCTACCTGTGCATGAATTTTATGCACAAGGCCTCTAGTGTGCGTGCGTGTGTGTGTGTGTGTGTACGCATATATATATATACACACATAAGTATATATACACATAAGTACATATACACATAAATATGTGTATACATATACATAAATACACAGATGACAGTCAAAACTTTAATTCTCTAAATGAAGGAGCAGTTTATGTGATGATAATCTTTAAAATAAAAGACTATGACACAAAGTGATGGGTTTGTTCTCAAATGGAATAGAGATACCAATTGAAATTCTATTTTGAATTGTAACTGATAAACAGTAACAAATATCATATTATAAAGGGATATTATCAAGGGATGGTATGTACCTTAGAAATTTCCATCTTGAACACCACCAGAAGAATGCCTTCAGAAATGAAATGTATACTCGTCTTTCTCCTGTCTATTGCAGGAATATCCTCAGGAGAAAGCTTACAGATGTTCTTTTACTATCTTGTGATTTTTAACTGCCCTGAGTCACAGCAGGCTTCTGTTTGCGATTAGCCACACATTGCCAATGACTTTTGAGCATACTATTTTCACTTGCTTCTCACTGCATTCTAGTTTTATTCTGATATTTAAAAAAAAACTCATCTAATTTAGGTTAATTTCTTAGTTTTTAAAATTAAAGTCAAGCTATCATCTACAAAACCCATCTTATTTAGCAATCATTACCTGTGTGTCAACTAGTTCTGAGCATCTACTTGGCCATTCCAATCTAAAGGTGCTCTTATTCGCTTCTTTACTTCTTTGTTGTACATAGTATTCTTTCTCATTGTAGCCATCTATATATTTACAGAAAATACTCAGGATAACGCCACTGCTACAGATTTCAGAACAAGCCATGTCACAAAAGACTATAAAAAAGCAATAACACACTCATTCTTTCTTATATAATTTTCTCATCGTCTCTACCTCATTTTGTTAGGTTCCATTCAAATGTTTCACATTAACTTTCTCAAAAGTTTGCAGTGTGATCAAGTTCTGTGAGTCAGAAAAGTTCCTGGGCTATTGTTACCATGATAACATGTGCTTTGAGATGAAAGCTCTGGACTCCTAGCAGGTTTAGGGTTCATTTGGAGGGAAAGAAATATCATTTTCAAAGGAAGCATGCACACACAATGATCTTTTAATTGAACTGGTTCAATAGTTGCTATGTCTATGACATTCATTATTACATTTCAAATTTCAAATACTTCTTTGAGGAATTTAGGCTAACTTCAGTTCAGCCAACTGAATCCTCCATGTGCAGCTAGAAAATATAATGCTTTTAATTAATACCATTACATATTCATGGGTTTCATAACACCAAAGAAATAATTTATTTTCTTTTCATTGAGATATTATAATTTTAGAAATGTGTTAGAAATATTGAAGTACAAAGGAACACCGTTGCAATGAGGATCCACTTTCAGTGATGTTATAGTAGCTACTTATTAACACCGGGCAAAATAATGTTAGTCATGCTAATCATTTGTGCCTTAATTTTTGCATCTGATACATATTTATATTAATTTATATTTATAGAAAGGTTTAGAAACTAAGCTGTTAACAGTCACTATTTATGTATTGTTTGGATATTTTTATGTCTTATTTTTATAATTTAAAATGTGAATTGATTTTTAGAAATTTCTATTTTCTTACATTTTACCCTAATTTTTCAAAATATTTATTCCATATAAATCCATGCAGCATTCACAGAATTCTCATTCTGCATTAATCTGTATATGAAGTAACACAGCTGTTGGATTTAGGTAACTTGTAAAAGAAATAATTATAAGTTGATATTTTATTTTCAAACAATTCATTATTTAAAAACAAGTATCACTTTTGAGGATTATTTTTGGTACAGGATTTTTTATAACTGTGCTTAGCTTTGATGTATCTTAAAAGTGATAATTGTCTTTAATCAGCAATGGAAGATTCCTGTAAGAAGTCTTGTCATTGTGCTCCGATACTTGGAGAGTGCATTAAGGGTATGTCTCATATGATGTCATGTATCTGGAGGATTATGGGAAGGATCAGCTCATCCAAGTATCCTGATGTTGAAGACAAACACTTTATAAAAGGATTCAGTGAAAGTACTGTTAACATTTTGGTGTTATTCTTTTTAAGAAATATTTCTAAACAACTTGGTCCGCGCGGTTCAGAGGTTGAGCATCAACTTATGAACCAGGAGGTCATGGTTTGATTCCCTGTCAGGGCATGTGCCTGAGTTTCGGGCTTTGATCCCCAGTAGGGGGCGTGCAGGAGGTAGCCAATCAGTGATTCTCTCTCATCATTGATGTTTCTGTCTCTTTTTTCTGTCTCCCATTATTTCTCTGAAATCAATAAAAACATACTTTAAAAAAGAAATATTAAAACAGCACTTCAATATTTGGTTATGTAATTGTCCATTCAGATATTTATCTATGCTGGAGTTCATTAGAATATTCATTTTTAGAATGGAAATTGAAATATTTAGTTATACTTTCTTTTCATTAAAATATACATTATCCTAATGAGAAAGTAGAAGCATGAATTTCCAAAAAGGGGTGCTAGAGAGTGAAGTTGTCTCTAAATAAATGCACCTCTCAAGTATAACACATTATACAATAGACATACAGAGCTATGTATTAGGCACTGATTTGAGCACTTGGAAAGTTAAATAATGACTGTTGAGCACTGCATGGTTTAATCGTAGATACTTCCTATTTATGTTTTAGTCAAAATGATTTTTTATGTGTGTTTTTAATGTCCAAACAGAATTTATTTATGTGATAACGGCATTTAACTTGGCATATCCCAGTACTCCTTGGAGATTTAAGCTGTTTTGCATGCCACCAAACACAACTTACGACTTTCTCTTGCCTGCTGGAATCTCAAAGAACACTTCAAATTTGAATGGATATTATGAACCACTTTTAGAAGCTAAATTTAATTCAAGTGGTACCTACTATTCTAACTTAACATCCAAAACAACTTTCCACTGTTGCATTTGGAGTGAGGAAAATGAAAACTGCTCTGTACAAGCAGACAACATTGAAGGGAAGGCGTTCATTTCACCAGTAAATTCTTTAGTTTTTCAACAAATAGGTAAGTATTTTAATGTTCCAAGATTTAGCTGTTATTCAGCTGTATTGAACAAAATGTTTTTATTCTCTGAAAACTGCATGGAATGGATGTCTTATGGATGGGATTCTTAACATGTATTATAATTTTATATTAGTAACAAAATTAGGATTCATCATGTGACCAAACTAATAAGCCCCCAATTTTTTTATGTCCCATAGAGTAAGATAAGAATGTAATGAAGGAACTTATTTTAAACTATAAATACATTTCTTGTGGTCTTCTAAGTGTGCTTTAAAATAGAAAAGGCACACCTAACTTATTAAATAGATAAAATATTTAAAATATTCAATTGTTAAATTAGTTACATTTTAAAGCATTATGAGTAATAATATTTGTTCAAACAAAGAATTGATCTGTACCCAATAGATCTTTTAAATCAAGGAGTTTTTGTTGTGTGAGGTTAATGCATACTGAATGTAGCTACTATAGTTCATAATGCTGCATCTGGAGATCTAAACAAGAAAATTACTTCTAAGCTTCTGGGAGAGCTAATAGAGCAGAGTCACTTGATGTGGCACTATAAAGAGACCTACAGGATGAAAATAAAGGCACACATATGCATAGCATTCCTATGTAGGAGTAATCAGGATTTCTCAGCTTCTACACTATTGACATTTTGGGCCAGATAATTCTTGGTTTGGCGGGGCTGTTCTGTGCATTGTAGGATGTTTAGCAGTATTTCTGGCTTCTACCCACTAGATGCCTGTACCACTCCCTCTCCAGTTGTGACAATCACAGCATAGCTCCAGGGTTTGCCAGATGCCCCATGGAGGACCAAATGGCCCTGGTGGAGCACCACTGATTCAATGGAAGAAACACTCCAGTTTGTGGAAATCAGTTTAGGAATAAGGATAAATTAAAGCATACATATGCAATAAAATCAGGGTTTTAAAATAAGTTAGCAGTGCCTCCAATTGAATCTATAGTCTTTTAATTTTGTTATAAATGTTTTATTCCACTGCACTAAAATTAAGCACTTTAAAAAATTTCTAAAGAAACTTAGCCTTTCTAGTGATTATTAAATGTATTAAGAATGAACATAAGAAATCAGGGTCCTTAGGATGAGCTTTGAAATGATAAAACAAAAGTTAATATTTTTTTCACATAAAAGGAATGACTACGATGCTGTAGATTTTAATTTTATATACTGTTTAAATAAAGGCTAATAGCTAGTTACTTCTGAGTGAGTTGGCCTTAAAACTAAAATTATTAATTTAAGTGGTGGTTATTGAGGATTTCCATTGATTATTCTGCCAAATGGGGCTCAACATATCTTTTAGGTTTGGGAAAATATATTACTGTTGCCCTAAGATAGTTTAAAAAAATATGGAAATCATGACTAAATGTTACTCTTGCTTTTTTCTAAATTACAAACCACCTATAGTTTATCTTACATTACCAGCTGAGTTTTTCAGTGTGCTGTGAAATAAACTTTCATCAGTTATATTTGGAGCCTGTAATATTATAATAACGAGGATGTAAGACATTCATCATAGTTCAAATGTGAATCACCTTGCTTTTATTGCTAAAATAGACACATAAATATTGCTCCACATTTGCTTGTACTTTGATATTTAATGTTCTCTTTTCTCTTGGAAAGTGAGCCTGAACTGAGCTATGTGAGGATTTTGTTTTGAGGATTGTCCTATGTAAGTGATTCAGGATAAAAAGGTCTAAGAAGCAATAATTGAATTTAATTCTTTTTACACAAAAAGGAAACTGAAGGCCAAAGACACTGAATGACTTTGGCAAACACATACCACTAGGTAGAGCCTGTTTTGTTTTGTTTTCTCTCAGAATGGGCAATGTGAGTTGTATCAGAACACTGGTAAATTTAATTTAGCTCTTCTCTTTCAGGGAGTTGTTCAGAATGTTTTTCAGATTTAAAGCAGTTTATTTTTAATTCAGGTGCAAACTGGAACATACAGTGCTGGATGAAAGAGGACTTGGAATTATTCATCTGTTATATAGAGCCATTATTTAAGAATTCTTTCAAGAATTATGACCTTAAGGTCCATCTTTTATATGTTCTGTAAGTACCAACTAAATTAATTTGTACATTTCTATGACACATTTTTTAAAAAAATGTGTAGAAGTGGATTGTGAAACCTCTCCTATCCATACATTTCCTTTGATGTCTATGTAAGTTTCTAGGTGGCAGTTTATATATTTTTTTATACAACTTTCTTTTCCATTAGTGTTTCTCTTTTCTCCTCTTCTTTATTCAGGTGGCAAGACATTACAGATATGAATGGGCATATATTCTGAAAAAAAGTATGAGCTCAATTTAGGGGTCTTAGATATTTGAGTGGAGGATGGGAAGTTTTTTCTATTTATTTTTCACAGGCTAGTGGTTGGGACAGAAGGGCACAGGATTTTAGTTTTAGTGGTTGCTGATGTGTACTGGCCCGCACATGAAGCTGTGGGAGCACAAGAGTAGTGTGGGAGCCTTGGTGAGGATAGCTAGGACAGCTGGTGAGAGAAGAGAGGTGGGAAGGCTGCCTAAGGAAGGAGACCAGCTGAGTTGAGTTTTCAGGGCCGAAGAAGAGCTAACAAGAAAAAAATGTGAGTAGGTAGTATTGAGAAGCAGATCAGCATTACAGTGGGGACTTGACTTACGAGTGTCCCGACTAAGGAGTTTTTTGAGATACCAGCTGTCTCTGGGCCGATTTTTTGCATTGAGTTGACAGAGTAATTTGAGTTAACGAGCTCCTTAATGAGCTCGGTCTCGGAAAGAATTAAAGTCGAAAGTCAAGGCCCCACTGTACCTGGAAGTTTCTTAGAAACTGAACTAGTGAGCCAGAAATTCTGAGGGTGGGGCCTGTCGGTCTAGGTTTTACCAAGCCCTTATTTTTTAAATTTTATTTTTATTGATTTCAGAGAGGAAGGGAGAGAGAGACAGAGTTAGAAACATCAATGATGAGAATCATTGATTGGTTGCCTGCTACATGCCCCCTACTGGGGATTGAGCCTGCAACCCAAGCATGTGCCCTGACTGGGAATCGAATTGTGACCTCCTGGTTCATAGGTCGATGCTCAACCACTGAGTCACGAAGGCTGAGCGAGGCGAAAGTTATTGATGAAGAAATAATATTGTCTAAAGGTGGGACTAGAGAGAGGTCAATTGTGCCAGTTAGAACGGTATAATAAGGTCTGAGTAATATCTATTGACTTGACAATGTGGAAGAATGGAAACTTTGGCCAGAGTTGTTTCAAGGAGTGGAAAGGGAGGTAGCCAGAACCAAACAAAACTTGGGGGAAGGATCCTGCAGAGATGACTTCGAGGAGTTGGTACTGGTTCCTCAGGCACTTGATGGAGGGACCCTGCAAAGCTGAAACTCATGTATCTGAGGAGAGGATGCTGGATCACCTGTATAGAAGGGTCTCCGAGGAGGCATGTTACGGCTGGTTCTGAGAATGTGGGGGGGAAAAGACCTGGTTACTGAAATCAACTGCAGCGACCCAGGTGAAGAGCCTTTGCTGGGGTGATGAATAGGAAACAAAACAAGAAAGATCAAGTCCCTTGTTCCTCCATTAGCCTTCTAGTGTCCTAGCACCACTTATAGGTAGAGATTAACCAGCATCCAGGAGTTGTGCAGGGTTCAGCTGCAGCGTGGGAAAGCAGAGTATAGAGCAGGGGTGGGCAAACTTTTTGACTCGAGGGCCACAATGAGTTCTTAAACTGGACCGGAGGGCCGGAACAACAGCATGGATGGAGTGTTTGTGTGAACTAATATAAATTCAAAGTAAACATCATTACATAAAAGGGTACGATCTTTTTTTTCAATAGGTTTATTCATTTCAAATGGGCCGGATCTGGCCCTTGGGTCGTAGTTTGCCCAGGGCTGGTATAGAGGGTGGGTTTGAAGATGAGAGACAAAAGCTTCGCCAGCATAGCTCACCCCGTTGGCTACATAGCAGCCACACATACCTTTCTACACATAATGGAGCTACGACTTCCCTGTAGCTTCATGCTTCCCCTTACTAAGATTCAACTACATTTTGAACAAAAGAAGACACTAAAATAGGGAGACACTATGTGCCAATTGTCATTGTATCCATTTCTGTGCAACATTTACAATTCTGATATCTGGGCAATATTAATTTCTCTTTACATTCAGACTCAGTCTTGCCTAAATGAATATTCTGTAAACTAAATACTAAATTGTAAAGAATCCTTATGTAAAATGATAGGGGAAGGAGGTGATTCAGAGGAAATGACTTAATATATAAAAATAAAAAATTAGTTACTATATGTATTTTGTATGTACTATATACAAAAATACAGTTAAATCAAAGAGGAAGAACACATGGTTAATGGACATCATCCTTATTGTTGTGCTGATTATCAGGCTGTGGTTAATACTTATATCTTATGTTGAACTATTTCTTAAGGTTATCCCAAGCGTAGCCCAGGTAGGGTGTCCTTGCTGTCACCCCTGACACTGAATGTCTCTGTGCTAATAATTTCCACATCTCAGTGCTGGCCCCTAGATGCTACCACTGATGAGTCTAAAAGCCCCTGCCATCTCTGCTCCTCTGTGCAGTCCTCATCAGGGCCAGGGTCCTGAATGGGGGTATCTGATGGGGGAGGACGTGCCCTCGCTGCCAGTGTTGCAGCCTTACAGAATGGTGGATTTTCCACTCTGATGCCAGACAGCCCCGGCACCTTCATAAATGTCCACAACAGAAATGGCTGGACTATAAATCCAAGAGGCCCAAGAAGCCTAGCTGAGATTGTGAAGGTTGGAAGGTGGAGGAATACAGGCAATGCCACGCTAAGGGTGGACATTTAAAGCATGGGAAAGAATGAGCTTAGTTCTAGTCTAGAGAAAGTGACCCAGCAGGGAGAGAACAGTTGGAGATCTGATAGAAAGGGACCTATTGGAGGTATATGATAGATAGTGAGTAGTTGAATAGGCAAGTTCCAGAAAAAGAGCACAGACAGAGGAATGAAGAATGGTCACTTTGTCTTCTGAGTATTGAGACAATAAAGGAAGCCCTATGGCAGTGGTCGGCAAACTCTAGTCAACAGAGCCAAATATCAAGAGTACAACGATTGAAATTTCTTTTGAGGGCCAAATTTTTTAAGCTTAAACTATATAGATAGGTACATTGTTATTAACTTAATTAGAGTACTCCTAAGGCTTAGGAAGAGCCACACTCAAGGGGCCAAAGAGCCGTGTGTGGTTCGCGAGCTGCAGTTTGCCAACCACGGCCTATGGGGATGAAGTTATAGCTGAAGTTTGGGGCAGAACATTTCCTGCTTTATTGGGTAAAACAGACTTTAGCACAGAGAAAAGAATTCATTTGCAATGTAGTACATTCCTACAGTGACCTAAATTCTTTGGATCACTTTTTATTTTAAGTACACAAGTGTAATTGCAAAATTACAATTTGCAAGCACTTTGTTTTACATTTCAAAAATGCCACCATCAAGTTGTTGACACATTTATGTACAAAACAGATTAATACCTGCTACAAAGCACTCTTTATTAGAATGCAAACTCTAATAACAGAAAAAAAAGGGGGGGCAAAAGCATCAACATCACTACATAAGTTTAAAAGACAGTTGTTGTTTTTTTAAATATATTTTATTGATTTTTTACAGAGAGGAAGGGAGAGAGATAGAGAGTTAGAAACATTGATCAGCTGCCTTCTGCACACCTCCTACTGGGGATGTGCCTGCAACCAAGGTACATGACCTTGACTGGAATTGAACCTGGGACCTTTCAGTCCACAGGCCAACACTCTATCTACTAAGCCAAACTAGTTAGGGCTAAAAGACAGTTTTTAAACCTGGGTTGCAGGCTTGATCTGAGGTCCTGGTTGGGGTGTGTGTGTGTGTGAGGCAACTAATTCATGTAGTTTCTCTCACATTGATGTTTCTCTCTCTTTCTCCCTCTCTCCCTTCCACTCTCTCAAGAAAGTCAATGGAAAAAATGTCATTTCATGAGGATTAACAAAAACAAAACAACAACAAAAAAGAAAATTATAAGTTAACTAGATTTTTAAAATCTTGCTCATATGATGAATTTAGCAGATTCTTTTTACATGCTTTTATTCTTAACTCAGGTTTCTAAAAATATCAATACAGGAAAACCTATCCTAAGTGCATTCAATTTGAGAAGCAATCTCTCTTTTTTTGCCACATTAATTCTTCTATCCTTTGTATGATTTGGTTTAATCTGATGAATATGTATATTTTACCAATTGTCACATACTAGTTCTGCCTTTAATTTTATTTTTTGTGCACATCTTTGTGCAATATATCTCTAAGTAATTCAAATAAGATTCTTTAGATCTGGAGGAAGAGATGGTCAGAATAACACATGAGACCTCCATGGAAGAGAAAATCCATAATGGTGGTTACTATAGAAAAGTTTTTAATCAAAATCACCTTCTGTGGACATTAGGAAATTCACAAGAGAAATCTTTCAAATGCTTCCATGTGCAAATAATTATATTTTTAAAAAGAACTAACACCTAATATTTATAAGAGTTTTAAAGTCCTATAAAAATGTCCCTTAAGAGAAAGTGTTGTTTGAGCTCAGATATTAATGTTTGTCAGAGAATCTGAAGGAGAGATACCAAAGAAATGTGCTATTCTGGAACTGCTTAAGACCTTTTATCTTAGACCTAGGATGGAAGTCCTCTTCTTCCTTTATGACTTGCCTACTGTGTACACCAGGTACTGAGCTGAGTGTGGGGAACAATGTTAACTCGACTGAGCCCTTGCCCTCCTGGAGCTAATAGTAAAGACAAAGGACATAATAAAGTTTGAAAATGCTGTCATGTAATAAACACAGGGACACGTGGAAACCTACTACAAGTATTCTGAGGGGGCAGACAAGAATGAGCCAGATAGTGTGAAGGGCATTTGCAAAGGCCCGTAGGCACATGTAGACAGACATTTGAAGACTTGAAATGTTGCGTGTGATTGGGTCCGGAAGTTGGGGGATGATGACAGATCAGTGTGGATGACTAAGCAAGGGTTATCCAGAGAGTTTGGACTTTTGTAACTCCCGTTTA